ATTTGTAGATATTTCTGGCTTATCTGCGGTGACGAAGTCAATAATTGGTCTCATCCCTTTAATGGCTTTTTCTATTTTCTTGTGCTTGTCTTTTTCTTTTTTTGCTGTTTTTTTTTTTTTTTTCGCGTTGTTTTAACTTCTTTTTTACTTTTGAACTAATGCTGAATTCCTTGGAACCGGCAGATGAGTACTCCTCTTGGCTAATAGATTTTACTCTATCGATTGCGATTTAGATTTAGGATTTCTCACAGATTACACTTTTTATTAATTAATGCATTCATCCATCTAGATACATTTTATTCATCCTTTATATACTATTTAACTTGTTATATTTCATTTTCATTGCCTCAGGCTAGTGAGATCATAGGCCTACATTCGGCTGATTAGCCCTTTCGTTTATCTTGATTTTCTTTGTTGTTACCGCCCTTTATAATCCGGCCTAATTATACATATCATTTACGATTTATCTAATACCCTATTCAGACTACACTCTGTTGCGATCGGTTGCGATGTAATCGGTGGTAATCCAAAACTGATTACTCCCGATCGCAATCAACGAACGCATTCAGAACAACACAAACGAACCTTACATTCTAGAGCCTAGCCTCCGGTGGCTAGGCCTAAGTTGACTGACCTCAGCCAAACAGTGCCTGTGGAATTCGTTGTGATTCGTTGCGATCGGATTCCGTGGTAATCGGGAGTAATAAAGATTGTAGCACCCAATCGCAACGGGTAACAACTGCGATATCGATTACATATCAACTATTATTGGTGAGCTTTCACACACGATTTTACTTTGCGATTGGGTGCGATTGGGTGTCGCAATTGCTACAAGATCGCAATGCGATGCTAGTCTGAATGGGGTATAAGTCACTGCTATATTGTTTATCCCCATATTGCTAGTTTGTAAAGTGTTTACCGCTGAGGAAGAGCACAGGCGTGCTCGAAATATTCGAAATAAAAAATTATCTTATGTGTATTATGTCAACGTATACGACTCTACTTTGTGCATTCGTACTCATTTTATACTATCAAGATATACGT